GGCGACAAATATCGGCAGCAGGAAACCCTGAAAGAGACTCTTCAAAGGCGACCTGCCCCAGACAGCGAGGGATTATGGGTAGGAGGAGATGAACTCGTCTGCTGTTAGCTGCTCCTGTCCCTCCTCTTCCTCCATCCGTCTCTCCATCACATCCTTGTTTGCCTCCTCTGAGCCTTTTGTGGTTTCAGTCTCTCTACATGCTGATCTCCAGAGGACAGAGATATTCCTGGCAGAGGGCAGAGTAACATAACCTGCTCCTCTCCTTTCTCATTCCCTCACTCCCTCCGCCACCAGGGTTGGGCGATATGTTAAAACTGCTGATATATCCACACGTAATCTCTCTCAGCTTTAATAAACAGAATCAACTCAAAGAAAGGAAATATTCTAACACTGATTGTCCTCATTAAACAGAGAAATGCAACCACACACCTGCTGAATTCAACCTTTTACCAAACTAATACCACCTTAACTAAACTAAACTAACAATATCCAGTTATATATTCTTGCTCTATACGCTAGCACTGCACCATTAATCCAATATTAATCCAAATTTTGGCTTCCCACAATTCAATGAACGTAATCGATCCTCGATATCGACGTTCATCTGGTGCCCCGGTCATTCGGTATCACGTTGGTTTTGATCGTTTTGATTGTCATCGAGTCTCTTCCACACGAGGATCACCTCAATTTATGTTTAGTTTAATTAATAAAAAGTCAAAGCAAACTGCTCCAGTAAGAATAAACTCTCTAGTAGTTGAACTTCCTGAAGACGATCATCAGACAGTCGAGGACACGGCCTGTTCTCTGACTCACATTCAGCCGTGTGTGTTTTTATTATTCGCAGCAGCTGGTTGGATGCTGACGCTGTTTTCGGGCGTCTGGCAGACTGAGAGCGCCATCGGGCCGCGGAGGATATTTGATCTGTGGAGCGTGAGCGAGAGGTTTTCCTCTGGCCTGAAATCCAGACACTCACAGTTAACCTACATAAGCAGTCAGACAGAGAAGGAAACAGCCAGGAGACAGTGAGACCGTCACTTTAACACCGTTAGCCGCATTATTTATAACACTAATAACTAAATATAGAGATATATGGTATAAACCAAATGTCCCATAAAGAACAGAGGTTAGTTCCTTATGTGAATCCCTTTGTGTTCAGTTGTGTTCAGCCAATGAGAGCAGCTCAACTCTCAGTGCGTCACCTTCGCGGGCTCCGACCAACCGTCATGGCGACAACTATAACTGGAAGCTTCAAAGTGGTTCGAACCGACGGGTGGGAATACTGTCGTTTTTGTGCCGAACTCGAGATAAAAGGAAGAATATTATAATACCAATAATATATAATCTGTCAATTTGTAATGAAATGAAATGTTTGATCGCTGCAGGTGTAGTTCTGATAGTCGGACACACTTAATCAATCAATCAATCAATCAATCAATCAATCAATCAATCAATCGATCATATGTCCTCTATTGTCTAACTCTGGTTGTGGATTTGACACACGCAGCATGAATGTTGAGTCTTGCTGGGCTTTAAACCAACAAACACACACCCTATGTGTACCCTACGAGCCTCGCCCACAGACAGGCAGACACAGACAGGCAGACAGACGGGCTGAGGAGTCGCTGTCTCACCTCCAGCACAAACTGCTGATGGTTTGGTACTTTGCATTTTCTGTGGGCCTGTTGCGCTCCCACAGATAAACTGGTCCAACTGGTTGAAAGTGTTTGAAGTGTTGTTTAATGTGAGTGGATCTTTAAACCGCTCAGTGGACATACGGAAGCGTCTGCATTCAATGTTTCTGCCCTTCAACATGTTGAATAAAGTTCACTGTGAACTCGACCACATGAGCTCAGGAGTTTCAGTTGAAGGCACCACGTGTCGCCCTGGAGCCTTTCAGAGCCCTTCAGTGCTGGTCCCCTCCCCCCGTCTACCCCTCTGGTTTCATAGCAACTTGGCATGGACAACATCCCTGTTGTGCTGGGAGCTGTAGGACCTCCACTCGCTCCCCCACCATCATCATTAATCTGCCACAAAGCAGCTCTTTCTCTCTCTGCTGCCCTGCACTCAGACTCCTGATAATCCAAACCCGGCCGGGAAGCCTGCGTCTGGGAATCCAGCAGCTAATCGGCGTCGTGTTTGACCGCCTGACGGCCAACGAGGATTTTTTAGAACAGAATTAAACATGAAGGCTGGTTCGATACGGCCGAGGAAACACTACGTATTCCCCCACCGTTGTGCCCATGAGCAGGAACTGAACCTCAGTGCTTCTTGATTAATATCTGTGCCACTGACTTTCAATCACTTTATTAATATTATTATTATTACTAACATTATTTGATTAAATATCTCCTGATTTGAAGCGGTTCTGCCTGTTATTCCCGTATATTTTATACTTTATATTCAAGGTAGAGCTGGGTACTGTTATTAAAGTTCCTTTGGACAGTTAATTGTATTTTATAATAGGTTTCTTAATTGTCCAGGTCTTTGAACAGCAGAGTGGAGTATGATACAGCGATCTGTAATCTCATTTTCTTTGTTCAAATTCATTTTATGAAAGTATCATTGAGGAACCTGAGTCAGCGTCAAGGTGTAGCTAGAATAATTCTCCTTGTTCATGAAAGTGGTCAGAAAATGCCACAATATTAAACAGTACATTAAAGTCTCGTGGCGGTCTTCCTGGAAGCCGCTCTCACCACTAAGTGACCCGACAACAACAACAACAACAACAACAACAACAACACGAGCAGCTCTGATGATCTGATCAGAGAGAGGAAACGCTGCGGACGGCAACCGCCCAGTCCGAGATTCACAGATTCACCAAACATTTCCCGACACACATCAGAGCATCAATTATCTATCAGAGATCGAACAAACCCACAGAGAGAGGAAGAGACTGAACCAGAGAAACTAAAGAAGAGAGGAAGACGAGAGGGAAAGAAAGAACAACGAACAACTTAAGACGTTCATTCATTTTACGACATTCTGGACATTTCCTCTCTTTATTGACAGCAAATAAATGAAGCTCCATCAGTGTAACAGAGAGAGAGAGACATAAAGAGGAGGAGGAGGGAGAGACAGTGAATCAGCAACAAAGAGAGAGAGAGAGAGAGAGAGCTGCTGTCATTAAAGCAAAGAGTCAGCAGCAGAACAGCAGAGATTGTTAGCCAGGAAGCTAACTGATGATGAGGCTCATTAAGAGCTTCTGGCTAATGAACCACAGACAATAACGTCTGAGTCCGGTTCAAAGAACGCTGCTCACATGATCTGGACTTCATCAATATGTTTACATCCTGATTCACTCAGATAATGTAGAATAGATATTATGGGTTAGCATCAAGCTAATGGAGTAAGTGCTAGTTATTTCTATATATAAAACAAAAGAAGCAATTCTACAGGTTCTGGATCTACGCACTGAAGATCAGAAAACCATCTTACTGCCTGAGCTGGTTCTGTGTCGTAGAACAGATTCTTCCTCCCAGCAGGAACCCGAGCAGCCAGACTGTAACTGACACAGTGTCAGCGGGTTCCCTCTGGACTGACACCAGATCTGTTCTTCTACTGTCAGAGAACACACTGCAGGAGGAACCACAGAGGACAGAACCTGCAGAACCAACCAACCAGAGGACAGAACCTGCAGAACTACAGGACTGAAACAGTACCTTTTTAAGAATTAAAGAGGAGGATGAATGGACCCAAATGGATCTAAAGGGTTCTCCAGAGGACAGAACCTGCACTGACTGTTGGAGCTTTATAAAGAACCAGTAGAACCGAATGGAACTGAAGAATGTGAATAATGAGGTTAAATATGTTCAGTCTGGAGAACTCTGTTACAAACATCTGTTAACACCTTATCAATGATCGGCTGATCAATCAGGGTTCCCGCTCTCTGTAAGTCCGTTTCCAGTAGGGCAGATTAATCAATTCATTAAAAGATAAACAGTCACATCATCCTGATTATATTTGTTTGTTTTCAGTGAAAATTTAAGATTTCCAGGTCATTGCAGGACTGGAGATGGTTTTCCAGGTTTTCCAGGTTTTCCAGGGCACCTTGTTAACGTCACATTCATATTATTATATATCATTCCAATAATTAGATATATAATAACAATAACGTTGGTTGGGCTTTATGTTAATAAATAAACATTTAAAGAGTCTGAACTGTTTGTTTGTTTGTTTGTTTGTTGTGAGAAACTGAATCCGAAATTTAAATAATACTCACAATACGAGTTCAATTCAATCAAAAAACTGTAATTAATTACAATTACAGAAAACCCTGTAATCAGATTACATTTTAATAGTAACCGCTCCAACTACATGAACTATAACTGAATATTCTGCACACAATATTCAATTTGAATATTACAAATGCAAAAAATTCAGATTAATTTGTGTTGATGCTAAAATAACTTTTACTTTTCACATGTTTTTAATATGTGATTATTAAGTAATTACTAACTGTGTATATGTGGTTTGTACAATACAGTAATTAATTAGTATAATTGTTAATGATTCCTCTGTTTTATAGTATAAAATCAGGATTTTATGAGTATTTCCATATTTATCAACATAGCAGGTGAAGTATATAATATTATAATAGATTTATAAGATACCACAGAATATTATAAAGGCCTTATTACTGATTATCAGGAACATATAACACATCTTCCTTAATTTTACTACTCACGGGTGAATTTTCATTTTGTTTTTGGAGGAATCATAAAGGGAACTTATATCTAAATGTCATTCTACAACGTTGTTTCAATGACTAATAAATGTGTACTGTGGTCTCCTGGTACAGAACTCCATTAACAAAACGCTCAATTTTCATTCACTTGCTGTTAGCCGGCTGTTATGTGTGTTTGTCAGTGTTTTACCGGTTGTATAAGTGCAGGATAACGTATGTAATGTTGAATGTGAGCTATAACTCAGAGTGGATGTGTTACAGACGCATTTAATGGAGGTAGTTTGCGGCTTATGTCCGGAGGGAGGCTGAAACTCACCTGCCGGGTAGACGGAGCATCAGACGTCAAAAAATGCGGAAATGTCGAAGTTGAGACGGTTGAATGAAAGCAGCTGGGTGTCAGAGAGGATGAGTCCGGATTAAATCCAACCGGAGAGAGTCCAAGAAAACACAACAGGCGATACAAGTCCCGGTAAATACAAATAAACGGATAAAATCCACAGGGAGACGTGAGAAGGACAAAAACAGCCGTTTTTCTCTGCGGACTTCGGCTGCTGCTCTCCGGCCTGCTCCGACTACACAACACTACGGGGTCTCCCACACATACACATCACCTGCACGGGTTCGCCGTCTGTCAGATGTCAAAATAAAAGTCCGTTTTTGTTTTTCCGTTGGAATCCGCACGTGTGCTGCAGAGGTCGAGTCGCTGCGACTGACTGCTGCTGCACGAGCTGCTGAATCATCCACACACACACACACACACACGTGCGTGCACGCGGACAGCGCTTGCGTGAGGCACAGCTGACACTGACGTCATCTGTAAACATAACCCTTTCGTCACCAGACTCCATTCTATAAACAGCGATTTCTACCGAAAACACGCCATCGTGAACATTTAAAAGGTTTTTAATGAGAATTTAATTTATTAGGGAATTATTTTTAGTAAGTAGATAAAAACGTCTCTTTCTAAAGTATCAAAAACACCATAATTCTTATTTTCAGGTGATTAAACACTAATTAAAACATACCTGTAAATATTATATTACATTTCTGACAATAGATCCTCCTTAATGTTAAACACTAGAACCTTAATAGAGATATAGTTTGTTTATTTGTATGAAGCATAAACAAATCTCACACACCACAACATTTATAGCCTGAGCTAATTTGCAATGCCCCTCCCTAGATGGGCATTTAGAATATAAAAGTCATTAATGACACATTAATGTGCTGCAGTTGGTAATACAGAGATACTTTAACTACTTTATATTGTTTCTCAAGGCTCTGAGAAATTAACATTTTCCTCCTTTTGGAAAAATACACCCAGAATTGGAAAATAACAGACGTAGAGAAACTATTTACTCGGGGAAACCAGTGGAACCTGAACACAACTCACAACTATTGCTGTTATTATCTTTATATAAATGGTAAATCTGTAAATAATTGATCATATTTTGCTATTACAAGATAGTTATATGGGAATTTGATGCTACATGTTTTGTTTTAACGCTATAATTTCTTTATGCTTTGGCAACATTATCTTTGTTACACTCATGAAGCAAACTGAACTGACCTGAAATTGAATTACTGTTTGTTAGCTGGTGAATTTTATCTTTACCTCTAACAATTCAATATTATACATTTTATTATTTATTTATTTATGTGAATGTACAATATGTCATTTCTGCCACTGGGGGGTGTCTCACATCACAGCAAAGACAAAGAGAAGAAGAAATATATTTATAATATTTATTGTTTAGCAATAATATTACAGTGTTATTTATTCATACTATAAAATTATTGATCTATTCTGTAATATTAATCAAATAACAGTTTTACTGTGTAGAACTTACAGTGTCAGTCAGGATGCAAATGATCCTGTTACGTACCAACAACCACTCGTTTCTGTTGACAAACACTGTTTGTTGTGATGCAGCTGATAGTTCGGGGACAGTTGCAACGTTGCCCCGAGTTATCAGCCACTACAAAGCGCTGCAGGCCGCCTCGGGGCAGGAGACCCAGTGTTAGGGGCTTTTGGGTCAGAGGCTCAATGGACCCACTGGATGCTGGAGGCAGTTTTTATGGGATTTGGACCTGAAGGTTTTAACAGGACAAATGTTGTTTCTACAGACTTTAAAATCCCAAAGTGATCCTGTGATAACTGAAACCTGCTGCTGTTGGTGTGTTGTTACTGTTCGTCCACTAGAGGGCAGAATTCACTTTTCTTTCAGTCTGCAGCTCTGAACACATTGTCAATAATAACTGAGTAATCTGTCAATAATGTGTTATTAATGTGTTATTATGACCAGATGGAAAAAGAAAACCTTTATCAGATATTACACATTGTTAACATTAAACTGTACCTTCACTGTGTCAGTCTCTGTATCCTCATATTTATAGACTATATTTCCTTTAAATTACACTTATTCCGTATTGTTTTTGTCCTGTGAAACTATATTATGGATCAATTAAAATAAATATGATTATTTTTAATATAATATAATGATCTGTGTAATGTTCCATCAAACATAAAAGATTTTATGTTGGAAAACTGCCAAAACAGTAAAAGACAGTAAACTATGAATAGGTTTAAAACAGTTAACAGTAAAACACTGTGATATCTTATGTAAACCTTTATTTATACGGCATATAATGTAATGTTTTTAAATATTACAGCCTGTAAATTCCACAGAAAACCACTGTCATATCAATTATGTGGTATTTTTATGTTCTTTTGATGGTAAAAACTTGTATTTATCCAATAAAACATGGAATAAAACTGTGCAATCAACAGTTCTAATATCCTTTAACGTAATAGTTCTGCTGTATTTATTAGGAGCCAACCACAGCTGACAGTGTTTTACAGTGTGGAAAGTTTCTCTGAGCTCATTGAAAATCAGGTTTTTAAGGGGCGGGGCCTACGAGCATGATTTGTGACATCACAAATAGTTCAGAGGTCAGTCCTGGTCCAGCAGCTTGTACAGAGATCCCAGACACTGAGGCTGAAGGAGGAGACAACCTGTGCCAGAAAACATTTACATATTCATAGATTCTGATTTATAATGCGGTTTAGAAGGAGGAGAAGAGTTTTTAAGGATTTTAAAGTGCAAATTCTACTTTTATTTAGCAGAAAAAACATTGTTGTTCCAAGCATATTTGTTTTTATATCTTTATATTCTCCTTCTTCCTCTCCATTCATTTAATCAGCACTTGCAGCTTTATTTATAGACATTAAAATGTATTTTAAAGCTGATTGTGTTGCATTTTCCAACTATCTGGATTGTTAATCTGCGGATCTGAGGGGAACAATGAAGGAACAGAGTCAGTGCGGCTGTGAGATCGATATGTTGTAGCGTGAGGATGAATATGTTAAGGCTGGAGAGGGTAAACGCAGCCTCAGTCACTCAGCAGCCGCCGGTTGGTTCCTGTCGCACAGAGTTTGGAGAGGACGGATTCACGGGGACAGACGGACATGGCACCCTAACATCCATGGAGAGATTTCACAATGAGAGCCACAACCACGACCAGGATCCCCGCGTGGTCACGGCGGGAGCGGACAGCCCCGCGCCGGGTGGAGGTGTCAGTCTCCGCGCGCTGACCGGCTGCGTCCTGTGCGTCCTGATCGTCTCCACCCTGCTGGGGAACACCCTGGTGTGCGCCGCCGTCATCAAGTTCCGCCACCTGCGCTCCAAAGTCACCAACGCGTTCGTGATCTCTCTGGCGGTGTCCGACCTGTTCGTGGCCGTGCTGGTGATGCCCTGGAGGGCGGTGTCCGAGGTGGCCGGGATCTGGCTCTTCGGCCGCTTCTGCGACACCTGGGTGGCCTTCGACATCATGTGCTCCACCGCGTCCATCCTCAACCTGTGCATCATCAGCATGGACCGCTACTGGGCCATCTCCAGCCCCTTCAAGTACGAGCGCAAGATGACGCGCAGGTTCGCCTTCCTGATGATCGCCGTGGCGTGGACCCTCTCCATCCTCATCTCCTTCATCCCCGTGCAGCTCAACTGGCACCGCGCGCACAACTCCACGGCGGGCAACCCGGACGACTGCAACGCGAGCCTGAACCGGACCTACGCCATCTCCTCGTCCCTCATAAGCTTCTACATCCCCGTGGTGATCATGGTGGGCACGTACACGCGCATTTTCCGCATCGCGCAGACACAAATCCGACGCATCTCGTCTTTGGAGAGGGCGGCGGGGCCCCGTGCGCAAAACCACCGCCACCGCGCGTCGACGCACGACGAAAGCTCGCTGAAGACCTCGTTCAAGAGGGAGACTAAAGTTTTAAAGACTCTGTCCATCATCATGGGGGTGTTTGTGTTCTGCTGGCTGCCGTTCTTCGTCCTGAACTGCGTGGTTCCGTTCTGCGACCTGGACCAACTCGGAGCGCCGCCGTGCGTCAGCGACACCACCTTCAGCATCTTCGTGTGGTTCGGCTGGGCCAACTCGTCCCTGAACCCGGTCATCTACGCCTTCAACGCCGACTTCAGGAAGGCCTTCTCCACCATCCTGGGCTGTAATAAGTACTGCTCCACGTCCGCGGTGGAGGCGGTGGACTTCAGCAACGAGCTGGTGTCCTACCACCACGACACCACCCTGCAGAAGGAGGCCTGCGCCGTGCCGGGTCCCGGGGCGGCGCAGAGGCTCCCGCCGCAGACCGGAGGGAACCTGGAGCAGAACTTCGACAAAGTTTCAGTGATTTCGGATGATTCCCGCCCCCGCAGCAACCTGCTGCTTCCCGCCATCCTGCAGTACGAGTGCGAGGCGGAGATCTCTTTGGACATGATGCCCTTCAGCTCCTCCGGACCCGCCGACTGTTACGTGATTCCGGGTCAAATCCAGGACCTGTGAGCAGCCCTGCGTCAGTTTAAGTGGGTGACCTTTGACCCCCTGCTGACGATGACGCCATAAAGGTGTTTGAGTTAATTCAACAAACTGCTTTTCTATCAGAGAGTAAACTGATCAATGAACCTGTGAATATTGATCAGAGTTTTTATGATATTTTTATAAAAATAATGTGTAATATAATATTAATATTCTTTTCTGTCAGATTCCCTGTTTTCTTCTCCCTGATACTGGATGTCATTGTTCTCATACAGTTTGTGTTCAACTCATCAGAGTTTAGATATTAAATAATAAACTGTTAATAATAAATCAGTTATTTTAAATCAGAAAATTTAAAGCATTGCTTGAGTTAAATGTATTTATTTGGTGTAATATAAACTTTAAAAATAACGGTTTGATTTTGTTTTCTTGATAAAAGGTTGAGATATAAACCGACTGTGTGTTGTGTTAAGTTTTATTTTACCCCCGTGACTCCCTGTGAAGGTTTGGCGACCGCTGGTGGGGGCCCCGACCCCGAGGTTGGGAACCAGTGACTTAAACCGATTAAATTTATTAACTCCAACAATTTAAGCTCACTCCAAAAAGTAATTCAGTTGACCCACTTAAATAAATGGTTGCAAGATAAAACGTATCATTTATAACGTAGATGGTTTTAAAGTTGAAACCATTATTTTGATGAGTTGGAACAAGTTAATTTTTCTGAGAAACGAAATCAACTTAAAAACTTGTGTTTATGCTACTAATTATTAAATAAGTGGTGATTAAAAATACATTTAATTGAAGAGAAGCTAATTCACCCGAACTCAATGTACATTATAAAACTACATAAGTTAATTTAATTAAAACTTAAACATTATTTGGTAGTTTTAAGTGACAATGACTTCAGTTTGTGACATGTTTGATGTATTTATATCACATTACAGTTTGGTACATTTGTTAAAGATAATTTCATGAAGTTGTCATAAATCAAAAAGATTGATGCAGAATGTGTGTTAATGTTAATATTTGTTGTTAAGCTTAAACATTTGTGTTTATGAATTATTATATATATTCATTATACACTGTGTTCCAAATTATTATGCAAATATGATTTCAATTAAAAAAACATGAGATTTTTTGTTTTTCAATGAAAGTTTTCAATTGTGCTGCTTCCCATGTCTGTTTAGATCACTGACATCAATCTCAGACAGGTCTGTCTTTATGACAGGTGAGCCTAATTAATGGGAAACTACTTAAGGATGTTGTTCACAGTCACAGGTTTCATGCAATATGGGGGAAAAAAAATATCTTTCTGCAGATGAAAAGCGTGAAATAGTGCAGTATCTTTCAATATTTCAACCACTGGATATCTTATGAAATATTACGAGAGATCATCGTCCAATGAAAAGATTTGTGTCTGATTCAGGGCACAGACGGGTTCGTTCAGATAAAGGCGTGTTAAGTAAAGTTTCTGTAAGGCTAATTCATCGTATTCAGAGAGCAGCTGTGAAAAAGCCACTGATGAGTATCAAACAGGTATTTGAAGCTGGTGGTGTCTCTGGAGTCCCAAGAACCTCTCGATGCAGGATCCTCCAGAGGCTTGCTGATGTGCATAAAGCTGTATTTCAGCCGCCCTTAAACAATGCCCACAAGGAGACATGATTGCAGTGGGCTCAGAAATACATGAAGACTAATTGTCTAACAGTTTTATTCACTGATGTATGCCGTGCTACACTGGATGGTCCAGATGGATGGAGTTCTACACTGGATGGTCCAGATGGATGGAGTTCTGGATGGCCACCATGTCCCAACAAGGCTGCGATGTCAGCAAGGAGGTGGTGGAGGATGTTTTGGGCTGGAATCATGGGAAGTGAGTTGGTAGGCCCCTTTAAGGTGCCTGAAGGTGTCAAAATGACCTCTGCAAAATATGTGGAGTTCCTAACTGCCCATTTCCTGCCATGGTATAAAAAGAAGAACCGTGCCCTCCGGAGTAAAATCATTTTCATGTAAGACAACACACCATCCCATGCTGCAACAAATACCATTGAGGCCTAGGCTGCTATGGGCATTAAGGGAGAAAGAATCACAGTGTGGCCACCATCATCTTCTGACCTCAACCCTACTGAGAACCTGTGGAGCATCCTTAAAAGGAAGCTCTATGAGGGTGGGTGGCAGTTTACCTCAAAACAGCATCTCTGGGAGGAAACTCTGGTATCCTCAAAGGAAATCCAGGCAGAAACTGTACATGGAGAAACAAGTTCAATGGTTGAGAGCGTTGTTAATGTGATATCAAAGAAGGACTCCTATGTTAATATGTAACTCGATCTTTAAAGATGTTTTTGATTTAAATAGCTTTGATTTGAGAAAAATTATCCTCTAATGCAAAAAATACAACAGATTTCGGTTTTCAATCTTTTAGAAACTATTGAGTGTTTTGAAACTCTGTTTTACATAATAATTTGGAAAACTGCATTTCTAGTTATTTTGCGAATAATGCCATTATCATCATTGGTAATTGTGTTTAATAAAATCCAGATTACGTTAAGGAATTTTTTATTGTTAAGGAATAAAAAATCCTATTGACTGCAAATGATATCGACTATTTAGTAAGAAAAAGAACAAAAACAGTATATGCATAATAATTTGGAACACAGTGTATATCATGAAGTACAAACAACAGATTTATTGTAAAAGATAAATTAAGATAATCGTGCTTAAAACTAGTAATTAACACTCATGTGCAGCATTTCTCCAAACTAATGTCTGAACATTTATAAAATTTTTAATTTATCTCAATGACTTAAATGCTTTTTTATATGTCTGTTGTATATGTCTTTAATGTAACCATTTATTTTCTTTAAGTTGACTTTGTATATTATTTAAAAAATCCCCAAAATTAATTAGCTGCCATTTTGATTAATTGTAAATTGTTTTTATCATTCGTCAGCTGGTTTGACAGGTAAGAAAACTGAGTAAATTCAACTTAAGTGGTTAAATTTGTATAAAGAAGATGCAGTTAAGTGACTTTATTATAGATAAATATAATAGATAAATTCTGTGAACACATTTTGGAGTTTGGAGAAATGCTGCATAAGACTGTAATTTACTTATTAGATTTTAGTTCAATTTACTGAATTAAATTGGCAAAACTACGTTAATTTACCTGAGTTAATTTACCTGAGTTATATATATATATATATATATATATATATATATATATATATATATATATATATATACACACTTTTTGAAAGTAATTTTTTTGGCCTTTTATTGCTTTTATTTGATAGATACAGCTGAAGATAGACAGGAAAGGGGAGTAGAGAGAGGGGATGACAGCAGCAAAGGGCTGCAGGTTGGATTCGAACCCTGGGCCGCTGCACCAAGGACACAGCCTCGGTACGTGGGTCGCCAGCTCCAACAATAAATACTTGAGTTACTTGAACTCAAATAAAATATTTCTTCATGCTGAAACTGTTTTTGTTAATGAACAGTTGAACTAACTCATCAAGTTTTAAAGTAAAGGTCCAAACCACAAATCTGCTGTTACATTTATTTTGCTCTTGTATTGCGATTATTTGACACATATATTAATGGGAAATATCATTTTTGCATCACAAACAAACTATTTGTGCAGTTTTTAAAATTTGCAGTAAAATCAGATGTTTTTGGTCCCAATAATTCCCCCAAAAAACGTCTGTAAAATCCTGGAGGGATTACCAAGCTGCCGCCGCAGTTTTGTGTCAAATTTAACTAATTAATTACACTTAAATTTAAACAATAATATGTGAAAAACAAACTAATTTATTGACATTAGACTCAGTGATGATCAGTTTATGTTCAATGAAAAAATACATGAAAAATGAATTTGGAAATATAAATTATTTTGGAAATGTTCTTTAGATATTTCTTTTCAATGCTTTACTGATGTGCCACAATAACCTGTTTAAGTTCATTTGAACTTTTCTAAGCAAATATTACATGTCTGGAAACAACGCTCCAAAGTTAGGCTAACTTTTGGTGATTCAAAAACTTGGACTTCTAACCTCGAGATACCTGAGTGAAAGTTGATTCTATAACCTACTGTTCTATGTCAACATGGCTGCTGTAACAAATGTCTCTAAAGCCTCAGTTGCTCAGAAAAACCACCAACCTCAGTGAGGATAATTTGCCTTAAATTGAACCTTTTTTTAATGGAGATTGGTTTGATGTCGGTTTGTTGGAGGTTCGTTCTTTCCCTCGAGTGTGAGACCAACAATCGCACAGTTGCAAAAAACATATCTAAAAACATTGCGACATGCATCACATGAAACACTGCTGTGAAATCAGGTATTTTAGGGCTGCAACAATCCCCAAAAAAGACTGACAGATCATTAAAGGTCCAATGTGTAAATAATGCTCCAAACTGAAGCTTACTTTGGTGATAGAAAAACTGGCGATCTGATGAGTCTCCCCTTTACAGACACTTTATGCTAACCCTGTGCAGTTTTTTGCATGTGGTATAAATGTATTATTTAAATACTTGGGGTCCATGAACTGTGTTAGAATTACATAAATTTAGAAACTAAAGCAGAAACAGGAAGATGGACAAGTTTGAGGGCAAGCTTTCCGAGCAAGTGCGCCGCTACAGGCATCTGTACGATCCTTCAATGAAGGAACACAGAGATGCTCAGAGGTGCCAGAATTCATGGCGAGAAATGTTGGAAAAGAGGAAGCCATATGCCGGAAAATTAAATAGTTAGTAATAAATAGTTACAGCGCTACCGTGACGTCACATTATCGCGCTACAGGTCGGGAATGGCAAGTATATAAGAGCCTTAAGACACCAGACTCCATTGACAAAAACAGTCATTTTACCTTGCATATGCTCAGTCAGTCTTTCCACCAATCATCAATGCTGGTTTGGTCAGAATAAACCCTTAATTCAATAAAAGTAAAAGTGAATGAAAAATACAAAACTCTGCTAATGACTTTAAATCCAGTTGTTTTAATTGATGCAGCGAGTGACATTTTAAACCAACGTTGTTTGATGTGAGTGCTCACTCGCTCGCTAAAACCTGCCTTTGATATGTTAAAGAAGGCTAATACGAAGAGCAGGGATAATTAATATCAATTACATCATTAGTTTCAGGGTTTAATTGCCCCTTCAGGTAATTGCAGGTTTCTGTCAGAGGTCCTGCTCCTGTTGAGATGAGGCATTCGAGTGTTTGTGTCCTTTCACACTGAATTGTGTTGT